TTTACAATACATATTTAAAACTTATGTCAGATACAAAAAAAAACTGGTTATATATTTTTGTATACCTACCTATTGAAACTTTAAAAGGTATATCTTATAAACTATAATTTCTTGTCATAGTTATCAGTGAAAATATGAAAAATAACTATATATTTTAAAAGAAAAATTTCTACGAATAGAGATATTTAATATGATAAATGTTTCAGTAATTTGTCACAGTAAGTGTGTAAGTCTATTTTTTTTGTCTGACTGAAAGCCATTAGGATTTTCTTTTAAAATTTCCAAAGCTACGCTAAAATATTTAAATTTGGGAACTTGTTGTCCGTGTACTGACGGATTAAGAATACGGAATGTCACTACCCCAATTCACCCCGTGGGTGTCGTAAGAGCCGACTAAGGGCGCAAAACAACGCAGGACACCAGCACTGACTGAAAAGAAGTAAAACTTGACACAAACCCTATACCAAGCCGTCCGGCCAGCGTGGTATAGTAGACCAAAACCTCATTTCTAAGGAGAGGCCTATGTCCAGCAGTGGACTATTAAAGGCTGTTGATGTGATGGTGGGAACTTGTAGACATCTTTTTTTTTTAAAGACTACTCCAGCCTTAGGAATATATCCTGTGTCGCGGGGACTTTAGAAACATACTTGAAACGGACACAAAGAACACCCAGACTCTGAAGAAAAAATTGTGGATCACACAAAGTGTCGTCCCATATGGGGATCGAATCCACAACACTCAACCAACCCACACAGCCAAGTAAGCGGCGTGGCGACCGCTTAAACCACTACGCCATCCGTTTAGTCAATTATTTTGATTTATCAACATTTGAATTCACTCTGACAATACATACAACACAAAACAATCTTTTACATTTCAGAGCATTTTATAGCTACCATCACTTATTTGTTTCATAATACAACTCTTTTTAGTAATATTCTCTACCATGTATACCAAGCAATTATCGATTATTTCAATATACTGTTTATTTCCCAAAAACGTGTCTCGTGCCTATAATTTATTGTACATTTTAACAAAGTGTTGTTTAATACAGCTTACCATAATTCAATCGTTACAAAAACAATTCCCCATTAATAATGAGTTAAATTGTATTACACTATAATACAAAATTCGCACACACATAAAATACTTAAACATATTCTGATCACTATGAAATGTAGATGTAATTTTTAACTTTTTAAATACGTGCGTGAGCGATAAACCATGTAGTGTCAGCATAATTAATACAATACATTAAAGGAACGCCGTAAATCTATACAAATAAATAAAATTAAAGTGTCTGTTTGTAATGTCAAAATAATAGGTTTTTCATGCAAGGTTATTTGCATGATACCTTTGCCTAAAATATTTTTCTCTGTCTGTTTGTTCCGGGTAATCTTCAAAACGGGTGAAGCAATTTTGAAAACATTTAACTACCAGGTAGCTGTCTATATAAGAAGTAACATAGGCTATTTTTTCTCGCAGAAAAACCGCGATATCGCGGGCAAGCACCAATTTTATGTCATAATTTTGTATATTCATTATTTTCTGTTTTTGTCTGAAATTCTTTACGAAGGATTTAAAAAAAATATAATCTCTATAGGTATATTATTTGTATTTTTTGGCAGGATGTTGATATTATTGTTAATAAAAAATATAATAGAATACAATTTATTTATTTGAGGACTCAACTACGTAATATTTATTTTGTACCCTGTATAAAAGAAAAATGGAACTTATGTGTTTTAAAAAATTTTGAAAAAGAAATTTTATGAATAAGGATAAGAAAAGAACATAATGTACCTAATACCAAAATCCAGGCAAACTCTTTACTTATATAACTTATCCTTAATGTCATGTTGCACTCGAAAAAAATGCTCGGGTAGGTGTAACTTACCTCAGAACTTTGTTTTGAATAAAATTCCGGTTGAATTTAATAAGGATTATAAGAAAGTTTAATTTACGACTCTTCTTATCTTTACACGTTTTTTCGATATTCTTTATATTTCGAAATATCCTAACTCAGATTCCGCTATTGGTTTTTTTCATAAATGTAATAAAATGTAAGTTATATCTTATGCACATAAATAGCCTTTTGGTATAAACAATTTAAATGATGACCGGTGCTGTCATTTTCTAAATCCAAATCATAGACTAAATCACTCGCAAAATACACATAAGTGACATATTAACAACATTACATCTATTTAGTATCGTGGTAACGAACAATAATTTATAAATAAGCATACAAGCCCGCAAACACGATATATACACATACACATTAAAGAAATGGGCGAAATTACATTTAATTGCAGCCAAAATGGCTGCCAGCCAAACTGTTCAACACAAATAAAGTTGTTGACGAGTGAAATTGATGTGACCAATTGAAAATTTACTTAATTTATGAAGTGACTAAGAAAATGCATCACGTGGTGAGCGAGGGGCGTGTTCGTTGTTAAATCGAGTTAATTATTACAAATGTTAATTTCAGTTTAAATAGGACTTGATAATTGAGACAAGACTACAATGTTAAATTATAATGTTACAAGTATTTGAAATAAACGTGGACATTAGAGACTGAGTTTTGTTATACTTAAGTTACCGTATAATTTAGGCCTAAGTTTCTGTGTAAAATAGAGATATGTTAGTAAATTAAATTTTAATAGAATATAATTGACACAGTTAATTAATAAAATTAAATCAAAAGTGAACAGTTGTGCCATAGTCGATAAAGTTGTGTACATTTAAGAAGGTGGAATAGATAAAATGCAGTTTATTTTTTTTAAAGTTCGTAAAGGCCGTAGAGTAGTTTGAGTAAAAAACCTGTATAAATTTTATAATCCTATCTAGATGAAAAAACAGCAATTTGTAACTTTTGTCGGCCTCTAGCTAAAGATAAGCTATGCTCATAAATAATAATTAGCAACCGGGACTCGAACCTGGCCTGCTCTTCAAGTCAAACGATGCTGCCCGCCGGCGTAAGAATGTTATTAATAACGAGAAACAACTAACAACTTTATAAATATCTTTATACACAGAAATGTATGACTTGAAGTAAGTACACCAATTACACCGTCAGACTTAGATAAATCGTCTAATTAGCGATACCAAGAATTTGTAAAAAATTGCAAAAAATTTATAAATCTAAGCATTTTTATCGTGTTCTCTTCGGGAAATGTTATTACTCAAGAATGGCTGGGCTGGCAACACACCACCAACTGAGTACCTATAGAGATCATTAGCGTGCATCCATCAATCATATACTGTCCTAACTAAAAAGTCTATAATATCGCGCTCAGAACCGAACTCTATCAACTAAAAAAAACGACGAAAGCTTCAAGATAAAGTCCAAAACGAAGTCACGACAAGCCTTAAGGCCACACAAAATAAAAGGTTGCCCAGGGCCAAACTAAATTGATAATGCCGCGCTCACAATCTTGTAATAGCCGATATTTCGTGCAACACACTTAAATTATTTCGAGATAAAACATATAATAATATAATATTCGGGCGATTGCGTATCTCAGAGCGGTTCATTTAGAAATGTAAAAAACTACAGGAATTTTAAGCTTTTTAATTGACATTACATTGAAACCAAAACAGAGGTTTTTATCTACATTATCCACTATCCGTTTATGGTTTGTAAAAGTGTCGTTTGGTAACTTTTTAAATTAAAATTAGTAATTACTTTGATTTTCGAAATGCTACTTTCGATATGTAATGTCCGGTGTTTTTGTAAGTGTAATTTAATAAATAGTCATTTTCGTCATGGTGAGTTTAGCCTCATTGTTGATGACGTTTAACATTAGGTATGAAATTGAGCCGATAATGTCTAAAAATGCAGCCAAAAATGACAGTAATCCCTACAGTTTTTTTGATAAATGCGATATATAATTTAAAAAAAATGGGTACCGAAGGTGTACATAGCACAACAATTTAATTTCTACATAGGTACAATATATAATAAAATAATGTAACTCTACCTACGTTACTTTATACTGAAGTATGCTTAGCATAGCAACATGATAAAGCACGACATTCTTTTGTAGGTATAATATATTTAACAAAACATAACTTGTCGTGTCTGTGCTGTGACGTGGGCCCGTAATTTAACATAAATAACATCTGTATATAAACAAATTACTTATAATATTAAAATATCACCTTTTGGCCCAAACGTGCCGATACGTTAAAAGGTCAGCCACGATAAACAAGCGTATGATTACTCTCAACTTTTTTTTTATCAATCGTTTTTTATAAAGTTTTTCTTTTATTAAAATTTTATGTTTACGTAATTAGAAATGACTTAACTTCTTTTACTTGAGGTTACCAAAATTTAAATAAGTTTTAAAACTAAATGTATTTTGTCCTTTATTTGAACATGATAAGGGCACTGTGTGGTGTGTTAAAATAGTAGCGTGATAAAAACATGTGACTGTTTGTTATCACGAAGTCTTGCTGTTGCTAAGCGTATTGATAAGTTGGTATTTGGTATGTACTAACATGTTTTTTATACGTTGGTAGCACTGCATATTTTTTACTGTCATGTTTAAAAGCAAAAAAATGAAAATTATGGCTACTTATAAAAAAAGAGTAAAAATTCGTTCTTACTTTAAGTATATTACGTTTAATAACCTGCTAAAAACGTCAAGATAACTATTCGATAACTGTTTTTACAGCCGATGTAATTTATTTGCAAAAAACATCGGTCGGTTTTTTTTTCGTACATTGGGCAACAAAAACTCAGCACAAAAACACGCAGCGTGCGACGACGATTAAAGTGAACGTCTTTTTTATTGTGTCACTTTTTTAGAACTTTAACGTTTGACTTTTATTGAATAGACATTTAACATTTCACCTATTTTATTTACGTTTTTTTTTCTTTTACATAATTTTAGTGGAGATCACGATGGTGTATTGCCGTCGGAGGTGGGCTTATTTAAGACTCAACAAACATCATAATCATTAAAGTTACGATAAAAATATTTGAAAACACTTACCCCCTTCACTGATGATGTTTATTTTGCTCTTTTCTACTAATAGCACAAATATTATGCGCCTTTTGTTCCATAGACACTGTACCACTAATCGTCACAAGAAAATTATTCTTTCACAAAAAATTTTGCTCCTAGTATTTTTTTTATATACTAAAAAAATATGCAAAGTTAGTTAATTTTATTATTGCCTAAAAAATATGCATCTTCTGTGTTTAGTTCACTAGCGGCCGCACTAAAATACTTGAATATGATAATTTGTTAAACTTGAATTCCAATAAACTATTGGAACATGAATTCATTTAATAAGTTTCAAACCGCTTAGAGCGCGCTATACTCGCATGAATTTCAAGATGTTACAAAAAACAGTTGACGAAACGTGTTCGCGCGTCGATCGTCGTCACAAGACGCTGCACGTCCAACGCGAGTGTCGCCCGCGCTCCGAACCAACGGATTGTGTAAACGCGCGCCACTCGCTCGGCTAGCGTCGTCGGCTAGCGGGGGCGGCGGCGCGGGGGAGGGTCGCTGGCTCTCTCGCACGCACACATCCACCCCACCGTATACCACACCATTACTAACGTTCCTATTTTGAATACGCGACGCGCCAATCTAGCTCCTATGCAACAGCTATACGAGCCGAGGGATGTGAGGAACGAACCGCGACGTGCGACCGACATCAGATCGTGCGTGTAGACAGAGAGAGCAATATAACGACCATGTGGTAAAGAAAGACGGAAGATCATCAGTAGTTGAGCCGCGTAACGCATGTGTGTAACTGTCTTTAAAACGATGGGCGATGCATAAGTGGCGTAGTGTCAGACTTCGTTAGTACACGTAGATGAGAATTGCTATCTTGAGATTTTAATAAAGAAGGCTCTGTTAACATTCTTTCATTTGAATCAAATGGGATTCGTCACATGTGGTGTACAAACGATTCGTCTTTTCTTACATTAACAATTATTAATACATATGCATGGATCAGTGGATATAGCCCGATAATCAGCTTGTAACAGTCGGGACAAAACTCTCCGAAAGGTATATTTAACTAAGATACAATTGTACAATTTAATAACTTTTACCAGCATATTGTTAGATACTAATAAAGTTTTACTTTTTTAATCAGTATTTACCTAATATCACATAAATCACAAAACTTATATTTTTTTACATAACTTTAAAAGAGTAGTATGTTATTGAAAACTACATATTCACAAATTAAAAAGAAACAATCAATGGAACTTACAAAATGTATCTTGTTTTTAGTGTTCTGAACTTGAATGGTCAACATAAAGAGTTTAAAGGCCTTTTTCGGGTAAACACCTCAATGTTGTTATGACGAATAAAATGTGATCGTTGAATTGAGAGAGAAAATCGTTTACACGGTAATGGGGAACGGACGAGCGGACGCCCACACACAGGCCCACGTTCGCAATTCAAATCTCATATTTACGAATTTCTATTGGTTAGTTAGAGCGCATTCGGCAACTACACGATTGGATCCAACCAGTCAGTTTACGTTCCTTCGACTGGTTTTTTTTTAGTAGCCTAGAGAAAACCTGATTGTTATATTGTAGGTAAATGATGAAATGTGTTTGGACATAGGCGTTTGTTATTAGTAATTTATATTAATGCATCTGCATATCTCGTTATATTTTTTCTCGTTATATCTGTTATATTTTTACATACATGGCAGTTTAGCTTCGAGCTTTTTTATTTTTACTTATTAAAAAATGTCTCGTCTGTCTCTACAAATTATTACAAAATGACTGTTTCTTTTTGTAACGTTAACAATTACTTACATGTAAAAATTTTGGTGGTGTAACAAACTTAATTAGGAACTTATAAGAGCTGATGCATTTGAACGTGTGTTTGACTTAGATTTTATTTTCCACGTTTACACGAGAACAATCAAGTCAATCCAAGAACTTATGAATTCGAAGATTACACATATTCAATCTTTAGAACTATCCAGATGATACCCTATTAATTTTAACGACTTACTAACAGTTTCAGGTTGATCACCTACCTCATATGACTTATTTGACATAGTGTGGCACGAAGTAAAATCGCTTAATTTATTACTGTAAAATAATTTCACATTTTCATCCAAGAGTTTGGGAGAGGGAAAGACATCTAAGCTTCTTCTCGTCTACGTGTCCCAATCTAGCCCCGTGGTCTTAGGCGGTTAAATAAGAACTAATTCGTAACATACTACACTGAAGTGAAAAAGCAGGCAAAGTGAAAATTGCAAAGACGTTACTTTGAGTAATAAGGTCTGAGATAAGTAGTGGTTTTGTTATTAAAATAAATATAATACACTATATAAATGTATACGGACGTATTTTATATTATAATATAAATTAGATATACATAATTTACCTTTAATTATGCATTATTTCGTCATTGAGCTAAATTACGGTTTTTAAATTTCGATTCGTTTAAGAAAACAACTGTAGGTGTGGATTTTCAAGGCTACAACAGTTATGTAGTACTTCTTTTATTAGATTCCTTTTTATACTTTTAGTCAAAAAAATTTAATAAAATAATTATAGAAATAAATAAAAGGTCCTTTTTTTGATAAAGACCAAATTTATCATAGTGGTTAATGCAAGTTTCATTTTATTAATTATTACATTATTTTAATAAATTACCATATAAAATGTAGGTAATATGATAGCTACCACGTAAGTTAAAAAAAGACAATAAATTTTTTCGACAAACCACTTTTTTAGCTGGTTTCTAGATTTAAATTGAACGATTCAGTAAATTATTTAACATCTTCTATAGAAAATAAATCAACACGAAATATTTTACAAGACTGATAAAATATCTCACGCCTCACCTGACACCATATCAGGGAGATATAGAGAGCTACACTGCTATACTAACTTTTAAACTTTCGCGTTCCATGATAATTAATATTATTTAACGGGAATTAACGCGATCTCTTATTTAGGGTATTACATACCTCTGGTTTGCCTGACGTTTCGACCAGGTTGCACCGGCCGTGGTCACAGGCTGACTAAATAATACCCTAAATAAGAGATCGCGTTAATTCCCGTTAAATAATATTAGCTACACTGCTGTTCGTGATAAACACTTTTTTGTTAATGTCACACTATATTAATGGTAAAACTACTTACTATTTGTCTTAGTTTAAGCTTTATGTTAAGTAACTGTCATTTTCAATTCAATTTTAGAACATGGCAATTTTTACTTATCCCATTTTTTTTTTTAATTTTGAACTGTTATGTTATCGTCATGTCTATTGCTTTTTTACATAATTATGATTTCTTTGTTAAAAATGAAAATCGTGGATGTTATCTATGTAACACCTACGATTTTCACCCAAGATAATGTTTACTTTATATGACCAAATTACCTTCCTAAGAAAATATATACCTACCTAATGTCAGAGTCATTTGTTTGAGTATCAGTTCGTTTACAGATAAATAATAGTCTGAGAATTGGAAATTATTATGAATTACAGCTCTACATTGTTCTTTTGGTCTATCTTGAAGAGGTAAAAATGAACAGATTCAGACTTCTAAACTTTTTTTTCTTGAAGGTTCAATGAGTTATTTTTTTGGAGTTTTAATGTTGTTTGAAATATATATTAAAAAATACAAAATGAGACTAGACCTACTGTTATAGGACTTGTAGAAAATGAATTTTTAAGTAAAAATTTCAGATTTCATGAGACGGCCAAGGGAACGAAATTTCCAAGTGTAAATTATACCTACATTTTTTTTTTATTATTGTAAAAACTCTAGCCTACCTGTTGGGAACCTAGTTATTTGTTGTCTTTGTGTAAATTGTTTTTGTTCATTTGTCATTCATTATCATGTGATTATCATTTAAATTATCTATTATCTATACTATTATATTTATTTATCACAGTGTGTAGCGCTATTCTAAAACATTCACTCAACAGTGTTCAGATGAAAAACACACAGGTGGCTTCTATCTTTACCAGTTTTAGCGGGAAACCGGCATTGTCATGAACCGCAGTCCGTATCGAACAAACAACGGAACGTCGACACGTCGTCGCCTCACTTCTACTAATTTAGCTTTAGAGGTTATTTTCGACGAATTAGACTCATATTTACCTCAACAATAATTCAAACAACACAGCACAACCATGAACTATGATAATTCGGTACGCTTAGGAACGGTCATCACATGCGTTGCCGCGCACAAGATACGGTATTCGCTTATTAATCGCAATAATTAGCGGTTTTTGTTTTTGTTGTGTACGAGTGGCAACCGCGCGCGGCGCACCACTCCACTGCAACTCGTCACATAGTGCCCACTAAGAACGTCTCTTTCCCCCTTTGCTTTCGCACTGGCTTTTTACCGAGGGCGCAGGCGCCCCTGACATTTTTTAAACCGCGCCCATGTTTCTGTAATTTCTATCGTAGCGCGCACCTTTTGTGAAAACAGCTTTTTTCGGTATTTTTTTTCGCGACATCTCTGTCTGTCGACCAAGTTTGCTAACTCGCTATCCCCCTCTTTCTAACGGTCTACGGTGGGCACCGCTCTGTTGCGACGCTAGCTGCGTTATATCTTCTCTTTCTAGTGACGCCGCGACGCCAGTGACGCCAATTATTTTTCTACACTATAGAGCCAAAACGTTGTTTCTGCAAGGTAAACTGTGATTTTCAACCTTATTTTGAATGCGTAAGATTCAACTACAGCACCTTCATAGTAGATGCGACTTTATAGTCTAATGCGACAAGTGTAAAGTTCCGGCCATTTTTGCGATAAAAAAAATGCTTGCATGCACGTAACCACGCCTTTGTATACTCACATATTGCTGTCTATTTTACTCCTTTTTTATTTTTCATTCGCGGTCTCGCTCTATCACGCACACATGCATACACCGTGACGCGAATGCTTCGGGATGTTTAATTTTGTTGCCACCTAGCGGAGAATAGCAGAACTGTTTGGAAGGAAAATACTTTCAACGAACTTTCTCTTTAAGGGTGGCAGCACTGAGAGAAAGGGGTAGTATTGAGTTTCGTTCAGCTTTTCACCACTACGTGGCGCCATTCAAATGCATGCAACCAAAAACGATAGATTAGACATGGTATTTACAACATATTAGATATCAATGGTATTGTAGGCTAATGTTAATTAAAATTGATTACCAAACCGGATTTATACTGTCGAAGAAAATTCAAACGGCTTGTGTTTAAGCTTAAAAATGTAATCAAAACAGATTTGTTTGGTGAATTAGCATTTTATTGCCCGACTATACAGGCCTTTCCTGGCAGGGGGCGCTGTAAGCCGTTTGGAAAGGCTATTAGATTTACCAGTAATCGTAGAAACAAAAATCGCCTTGCTGTTAATTTAACGATATGAGTCACTATTGATATTTCAATGAGGAAAGGGTTTCCGAACGGTGACTTTAATTTTGATAAAATATGTTTCATTCATAATGTTCGATAATATAAAAAATACGTGCTATTGTTTCGACTATTCAATTTTGGGATAAACCAATAACTTTGTTTAGGGAAAAGAAAGAGCCAACAAGAAGAAGAAGGTAAGCGGTCACCTAAGCCCGTTTATGTTTAGTATAGATAAAAGCGATTAGGCTGTGATCCGTGTGGTGACGGATCAAGAATACGGAGTGTCACCACCCCTATTCATCCCGTGGCTGCCGTAAGAACCGACTCAGGGAGCAAAATACGCAAGACAACAGCACTGCAAAGAGAAAGCAAACTTGAAACAAACCCCATACCAACCCGACTGGTCAGCGTGGTACAGTAGGCCAAAACCTCCTTTCTAAGTAGAGGCCTATGTCCAGCAGTGGACTATTAAAGGCTGATGATGATTTGGCTGTATATACTGTAAGCTAATATTTTGTGAATAAATGAATTAGAACACAGTCGAGAACTATTGCAGTGACTCTGCTAACACAGTTTTATCATTTACGTACTTAATATTAAGCTTTTATTGACCTAGACGAAACTATTAAAATAGTTTGCTTCATCAATTTCAATAAATATACCATTAATATATTCATGGAAACGTTTCAAGCAGTAAATATTACATGGACTAACACAACAGTGATTTAACGGACAAGAATCTGCGCGGGCGCCGCGCGACCGTACACTGATAAATATTTAACACTTAATTGTGGTTAGATTATTTAAACAAATTGATATTGTAATTGTTAATCGTCTCACATAGACTAAAGACTTATTGAAAATCAGGTAGGAAACTGTTCTTGGAAATGTTTTTTCGATTGTACAGACGACAGACAAAGACCTACAGAGAACGACTACACGAAATTAGATAGTTAGTTTAGATAGTATTAGATATTTTTCCGTGTTCGTTAGTGTCAGGACAAGGTTTGTATGAAAGAAAATGTCAAAAAAATCTAACAGTTTTTATAAAATCTCATGATATGAAAGTGAGTGAGTGAATGAGAGAATGAGACAGGAGACGGTGAGAGATCTATACCTACTAATATTATAAAGAGGTAAAATTTGTGAGTTTGTATTTCAGGATAATTTCAGGAACTAAGGGGTTCGAATTCAAAAATGTTGCAAAAACGGGGAAAGTTTATTCCTTTTGAGACAAGATTCAATCAAGAACAAATCATCACACTCATCACACAATACTTTTGTTCTGAGTGGAAATCGAACCCACGACCTTTGCTTTAGCAGCTCCGCCCGCGAGTATGTCGGTTATCGTAGTAAAAAGTAGCCAATGTTACTCGCTGATATTGTAGCTTTCTATAGGTGAAAGAATTTAGTAGTTTATGCGTGAAAACGTAACAAACAAACCCACTTTTATCTTTAATATACAAAAACAAGTATAAGTGTGTACCTAAGTAAGTATGGATTGTATAAGTGTCCGGTGGTAGGCAGGCTCAACTATTCATCTGTTCGAAATATTTATATCCGACTAGCTGACCCGGCAAACGTTGTATTGCAAAACAAAAAAAAATAGGGATGGGTCACCCTTACCATTTAGGGGTATAAAAAATAGATGTTGGCCGATTCTCAGACCTACCCGATGTGCACACAAAATTTCATG